GGCTCTTGTGTGATGGTGGAGGTTGTGTGCGTCTGTCTACTGTGCGAAATGAGATGGGAGAGGAAAGCAGCGAAGGAAAATGAGATGTGACAGAAAGAGAGAGAAATATAATTGTATTGTTCACTAACCAATACAAAATCTTTTGACCACTTTTAATTTCTTTTAAAAATATAAAAATCTTCTTAATTATGGGTAGTGTAGGCATTTTAGAAAATTTTGGAGGTGCAGGGTGAAAGACTTGGAGGTGCAGGGTGAAACACTCAAATAATTTTAAGATAGAATAAGCCAGAGTCCACAAATAACCCGTGGACATTTCTTCCTGCACCATCCATTTTTCTACACCATCTAACTTTTAAAATCCTTATTTTACCCTTATGAAATGTTATTTGCATAAAGAATAAAAATTTATTCTTCTTCTTTCTTCCAGCCTTTTTTCCTCACTGGTCACTACCGTTCATCTTTTTCTTCTTTCTTTTTTTGCTTTTTGTCGTGTAGAACAAAACCCAACAACTAATATCCAAGATCCAAGCCTATGTTCAACTCGAGAAGAGGTATGACTTTGTTTTATGGCTTTTGTAGTTCTTCAGTGGGGTCTGGTAGGGGCGCGGTAGATAGGTGTTTGGGTTTTTAATTCCATTTCAAATTTGGTAATTCATAATACACTACTAAATTTGGGAGTGTATATCGGATTAAGTTGAAATAATTTCATAACGTAGTACCAAATTTGGGGTTCATTTTCGAGTGATCAATCAGGTATATATTTGCTAATTCTGGATCAACTAATCTACAAATGTATTCCTTATTGTCTAATCTGGAATGCAATTCGGATCCGGAAGTGAATTTCAAATTTTGTATCTGGTATTATCTAGAGTTTTTCTACATAATTATGCAGAATGGTTAAAAATTATGTAGTGGGAGTTTTTGACCTAATCTTTTTGTTCTTATGAAAGGTGTTAAACTTGTTGAACATGGAAGGTTATTTTAATAGACTATCAAATGAAGTTGATCAGTGGATGGAAGAATGTGAAATGTTTATGAGTGTAGTTGAAAAGGTAGAAGGAGATTATAGTGAACATTTTACAACTGATGATACATTCGTTATGTATGATGACTTATCTGAGTGAGTCTGAGGTATTGCTTTCAGTCTTGGTTTTGTAGTAATTATTATGAAATCTGATAAAGCTAATAAAGCTAATGGACATTCTAAAAGGAGGACGTGTTTTGTTAGATGTGAAAGAGATGATAAGTATAGAAAATACAAAAATTGCAACCAAGTATAACTAGAACAAGGAAATGTGATTGTCCATTTAAATTGTGAAGGAAACTAGTTTACAAGGTAGAACGTTGACAATGGAATATGTAGCACTTTNTGGTAGAAGGAGATTATAGTGAACATTTTACAACTGATGATACATTCGTTATGTATGATGACTTATCTGAGTGAGTCTGAGGTATTGCTTTCAGTCTTGGTTTTGTAGTAATTATTATGAAATCTGATAAAGCTAATAAAGCTAATGGACATTCTAAAAGGAGGACATGTTTTGTTAGATGTGAAAGAGATGATAAGTATAGAAAATACAAAAATTGCAACCAAGTATAACTAGAACAAGGAAATGTGATTGTCCATTTAAATTGTGAAGGAAACTAGTTTACAAGGTAGAACGTTGACAATGGAATATGTAGCACTTTCAATCATGAATTTTCAAAGACTTCAGTCAGTCAGTCTTATGTTGAATGATTAGAGTCCCATGAGCATTTTATAATTGTTGACATGACTAAGTGCGTACTGAAACATGTAACCATATTGTTTACCCCAAGAAAAACAATGAAGACAATGTTACTACAATAAAATAATTATATAATGTAAGGTATGCTTATAAAAAATATGTGAGACGATACAAAACTGAAATGCAACAACTAATGATATTGCTAGAGCGTGATAAATATGTTAATTGAAGTAGATGTATAGAATCTTCAGATGATGTAAGTGACCTATTTTGAACACACCCTAATGCAATTAAGTTGTTAAATGCATTTAACATTGTTTTGTTGATGGAAAACACTTACAAGACCAACAAATATTGGTTGTCGTGACCTCATATATTCAACCCTACCAAAATATAAACAAACAATTAAACCATGCATCAAGAAAGGAGATACCAAATTAATATCTATTAAGAGTGTTACATAACCATCTAGTTGCTTTGTATGGACAAAGTATGCATCACCTAGTTGCTCACATATATGGATTATTGCAACGATTCCCCAACAATATCTGTCACAAGACATAAGGTTCCTAAATAGCTACAGATATGACACACTAATAGAACTTGCACTTTTGTCTGTAAAGATATACCCCACGAGATGTATCCAGGACTATAAGAAAAATGTGATTTACTTACATATAATTACGAATGGATTTGGATTCGTAGGTAAATTAACTGTTACATACGAATTTTACCTACAAATAGGGTAAATTGAGTTACATACATATATTTTTCGTAGGTAATGACTAAAAAAGTTACCTATTAATTTTTTGTATGTAATGTTGGCACGTTAAAGAGAAAATTTGGCAAAGAATATAATCTGTTAATAAAATCAGTATGTAAGTTAAACAAAATTTACCAACTAATTTTACATTTGAATTTGGAAATAAATAATTATTAAAAAATTAAAATTGAATTTATTTTTAGAGACTCATCATTGTCTCTTGCACTCCGTCCTCATAATTTGTCACTCACCTTACTCTCTCGCATTCACTCACTACTCACCTCACTCACTCTCGCAATCACTACCTGTTCACGCTTGCTCATTCCTTAATCTTCTTCTTCGCACTCAGCTCACTCCTTGACATCATTGTGTCTCACTCACTGACAAAGAAGAAATTTGTTCTTCTCACGTTGACTGAGTCTTTATGCTTTTGGTTTAGGGTTCTTTGTCCATTCTTCTAGTAAGTAATCTTCTTCGTTCATTCTTAAATCCCTAAATTCCTAAAATTCGAAAACCCTGATTGCTCTCTTCTTTCTTCTTATTGGCACAAAACCATAAATCCCTCTTTTCTTCTTTATTCTCTTTTCGACTTCCCAATATTTGAAACGTGCATGAACAATTTCATGGGTCTTATGTTAGTTGCTTACTGAAACATGTTGTAAATAAATGACTATGATATGATCTATCTGGAACTAGTCCATAATTTAGCTGAAAATTGGATTTATGAAACCATGACTAGATTCATTTATTTGGTGATGCGAAGTATTTCCATGTTCATTATTTTTTCCAATTAGGCTCCACGGACTATATTTTTACACCACCTATTATTGGATTTCAATGTCCTATACATTTTTCTATATGGAAATCATTATATCAAAATCATCACATAAAAAATCATCATAACAACAACAAACAACCTATCCCCCCTTAAACCATTTAAACAACCTCACCAAACTCAACCTACAAAAGTACTGAATGCAAAAAAAAAAAAAAAAAAAAAACTCTAATACATATTGACTGGCCCATCCGAAAGTAATTATCGAATTGGCTAATCTAGAAAAACTATATTAGATTGAGCATTCTGGAAATGGTTCCCAGATCCGGTAATGACTTTGAGATTTGAAAATCCAGTATATATTGGAGTTTTCTTCTTGTTCCTCCTTTCCGTTATCCTCTCCGTCAACACCCATGTTCTCCTAAAGCCCAATAATCATAAACACAAAATGGCATACCTAGTCTCTTACAACAACTAAAAAAACAAGCTACACAAGGATCAAGATTGTTGGAGGTGTTAGGTGAAGTGGTGCGGAGACCGGGAATAAAGATGCATAAAAGAAGGACCACCATCGAAGACATTAGAGTATGAGATGGAGGTGCATGATTTTTTTATGAAGAGAAAAGTGGAGATGGGATGCATGAGGCAGCATGGAGAAGAAAGGGAAGGATGAGAGACAAAAACCAATTATGAAAGTTAGGAGTGTATAAAGTAAAATTGCAGGTGCAGGAAGATATGCCCATAACCCATTCAAATGTACATAACCTTGAGTGAGGCCACTAATGTTATGAGCCTCGTCCATTTTAAGAGGCAAATTCTTCCTGTGTTTCAATAATGTGAACCGGTATTTCTATATATTTAAAAATATCAAATTTATCTAAAGGTATCAGTTTCGGATTACTTGGAGACATTTCGTATTATATAATCTAAAATATTAAATATAAATATGTTGGTATTAATATAATCTTATATAAAAATTTATATTATGAAATATATGTTAAATTGTAATACAAATTTAAATTTCATATTTTACATTTTAAAATACAAAATAAAAATATATTATAATTATAGAATTTCAAATATATTTTAAAATTACATATGTTGAAATAATAATACATTCAGATCTTACAATCTGGAATGCCATTCGGATTGAACTTCCATGGGTACAAATGAAGCGTTTCACCCTTTGAAATGAAGTGTTGGAGAAAATAAAGTTGTTTTCACTAGTTCGAATCGCTTCTTCAATTTATTCCGTTTCAGCAAAATGGGAGCATTCAGTGGCATTTTTAATCTTTCAAAATATTTCAAAATGTTAAGTATTATCTCTATTAAAATTTAAAGCTTTTAGTTCCAATATTTAAAGTTTTATAATCTTCACAAATATTTAACTCGTAAGATAACTCAGTTAACTTAACATTGAACTTAAGTTGTTTCTCTCGAGAAAAAGACTATTTGTTTTAAGAAAAGTTTTTCTACTTTAATTTCTTGCTTTTAGAAAATCTTGAAAATAAAATAAAATAAAAGCAAAATCATATCATTTTCAGACAAAACGACCACTGAGCATTTTTATCCTAAACAAAACTTCTTCTCAGCATGGCATACTATACTCCTCTACAAGGCTCAACGTAGTTATGCATGCAATATTAGTTTCTAAGGAAAATTTAATTAAACTTTCTCCTTGGAACTTTTTCAATCTGCACTCCATCAACTAAAGTAGATGTTTTAAAACCCTAACTAAAGATAAAACAAACTAAATACATAAAATGAGGGAAAATAAGATCAAGGTTCAGGTGTGAATTCCAAAACACATACAACAAATGAATCTATACAAAATGTGGAAGAGGTTAGGGATCGGTCAGCTTCTGCAAATATGTAGGTGTAAGTTACAACTTACCAACATTTGCTACCTCCACACACTTGAACCTGCAGTTGCCTTGGAGCAACCAACTTCCTTTCCATCAGCTGTACTTCCACTAAATAGCTGTGAAGAAAATGTTCCATTCTTCCTCACCTTACCTGGAAATTCCTTGCTTAAACTACCTTTCAGGGACAGGTTCTTCTTAACACGATTTCGATTAAGCATGAGCATAACATTGCGTGGAGGTGCATGCAGAGCACCTTCAACACAATCACCCACCTGTACACAGCCCCAAGGTCTGGAAGGTCCATCGCCACGAGATGATTTAAGCCTAGGAAAACCATTAGTCAATCTCAAAAAGCCCCGGTTATCAGGGGAATTTTCCTCCTCCAATTTTACACAAACAGGACAAGGAGGATCGCTTTTCCGTGTCTTTGGTGTTGTTTGCTCCAAGCATTCAGCATGAAATGCATGACAACAAGGAAGAACCCCAATCGTAGGCATGTCTCCACTTCTCACAATGCGACGGGAACTCCAAGGAGATCTCTGCGAGAGAAATCTTTCACACAAGCCACACCTAAATCCATTGGAAGGAAAATGTGGTTGACCAGGCATTTCTAATTCAAATGACTCAGTAACGTCAGCAAACTCCTGACTGCTGCTGGCGCTACTCCAACGCTGGCCATCTCGGAGTGGAGTAGCAGTATCAAACTCTGTAAAATCTGTAACTGCAGGATCAAAGGCATCTCTGGTAGTTGTTAGGTAATTAAAAGACATAGGATGAATGGGTTTAGAGATGAAAGAACGAAGATTAGAGAAATTCCTCTGACAGGATAAATGTGATTTTGAAGCAGACTCAGATTCACTACTTTCCGACAGAGATGATGTTGAGCCCCCACTGTTGGGATTTACAGATGTTCCCTGCATATATATGTCTTCCCTGTTAGCTTATTTCTTAAGACAAACACATCAGAAATAATTGCCCAACTAAAGTATCTTTTAGCAGTCCTTAACCGGAAACCTACCTCCTTACTGGGAGTAAAAGATACCCTGCCCGCAGAAGGATGAGGATCTATCAAAAGTACAAATGAGAAGGGAGCAGTTCAATACGCAGAAGTAACAACAAACAAGTTTATAGCGAAAGAATAAACCACAAACAAAATTGAGTGCTTCAGTTTTATTGTTACTAATATCAGCATGACTTAACAGTTCCATCAATTGCTACCTTATTGAGACACATTATCAAACAGACAAATTATGATCCAAAACTCAACATCCTCAAGGAATCGAATAATGTCATGATTCACAAGAAAAGGAAAATTATTAATTGAGTTTCAATAATTAAAAAATGAAAAAGTTAAAGCTATATAATTTAGAGGCAGAATTATAAGAAATCATGACTCAATTCTGTATTGAGACCAGATTTGTCAATGTATGGGTTTCCTCTTGTCATGCTACAGAAGACCTGACAATTCATAGAAATACTAGTTCAGCTCTCTACCATTTGATGTAAGCCCTAACTCTACAAACAAAAAAATGACCAAAAACATGTTTACTGTTTACCGTTTCATTGCTTCAAACTAATTGTCAAAGGCATAACCATAGCAAGAACATAATGAGTAGAGAAAAACTGTTTTTGATAATAACCAGCAAGATTGTTGAGCACTTTTTTTTTCCCAAACACCTTTTCAGTAGGACGGAACTCAGAAGCAACTTAATCGGTAGATTATGAAAGTGTTCTGTTTTTGTTTTCTATTTTCACTTTTGATTACAAAAATGTCACTTCGGCTTTTCCTTTTATTCTATACTTTTTAAAAATTATGAAACAAGGTGCAAAACAAAGTGGCTTCCATATTAAATGGTAATGGCAGAAAATAAACACACATTGAACTACCACTCATACAATACAATAACTTATACTACGCAAAAACTATTATATATAGAATACAATACAGCTAACTACCACTCATACAATTGGCTATTTATACTTTGTTTCTGTTTCACTAGGCTGTAGACAAATAGGATCGCATGTAAATGAATTTTTTTACCTTTTTTATTATTAAAAAGACCTTTCTGAAAGCAACCTCTTTAGAGACTAACAGCCCTAAGAGCATTAAGGCTCCATTATCTTGTATGCAAACCATCTTTTACAACCACATTGCTACGTGTGGTTTATATACATCTACATTATACTACTTTGAAAATTCATATATAAGGATTTACCTTTCCGAGCTGAATTTCCATAATTGTCAATACTGATTTCTTGTATTGCAGGAGGAGTCCACTGAGGACCCTGAGAAAGGTCAGATGGACTGCTAAGGAGAATACCAGTACCATCTGAAGCAGAATAGTGAAGATCATATAGGTGGTTGCCTCTGACCCAGCTCCCACTCTCTTTATCATTTGATGATGTAGAAGACCCGTAGAGTTGAAAGCTGTCATTCACACTATACTGCATCCCTTCAGACTGGAATCTGAAATCCCACCTCGTTGGAGGTGGCGAAAAACTTGAATTCGTTCGCCAGAAGGGTTCATTTGGACCCATAGACCAGTCCCTACTGCCTGCATTTGATCCATGTGGCCTTGAAGCCACACAACAAAGAGACCCCGTTTTAGCTATTTTCTCAGAATATCACAATAAACCCAATTCTGAACGCCTCCAATCCAACTATTTCAGTCACTGATCAACTACTTAATCGATAACAGAAGAGGGACACTTCCAAAAACAAGTTCCAACTCCTCAAGCCAAATAATTCAACACTCAATAGCTTCCACCTTCAACCTACACGTCTAATAGAAACTAAATTCCACCTCCAGCAAGAGCATCACCCTAAAAACTCTACAATCAAAAAAAGAAAAGAACCGCATTCACCATTTAGATAAAATAGAGAGAACATTATTATTTCAACCACCAAAAAGAAAGAGGTAAAATACAGTAAACAAGTAAAGCTAGTCTCGGAAATCACATTAAGCCATAAACATCAAATTAGTTGACAAAATGTAATAAAATTCAAAAGGTAACATCTAATCACAGAAACATTATTCTAAAAAAATCACTAAAGCAAAAACAAGCACAGCGATAAACATCATATTAGTGTATCAGTTACCAAATAAATTCAAAAAGTGACATCAACCAAAGAAACATAATAGTAAAAAAATTCTAAACTCGGTTACTAAAGTTAAACCAAACATTCACACAAAGAATACCAATTAACAGAACTACACAGAAACCACGTCTAAAAATTTTCAAATGTTACTTTACCAAATATAGAGTAAATGCAAATAAATAAAATCTATAGTGAACTTCTTTTTAAAACAGAAAAACAAAATAGTAGAAACCAGAACACAATAGAGCATATGAGAAAGCCAGAAAAACACGGGAGAAACCGAACCTCGTACCGCACACGTGACAGTAACGGCACGTGCGAGTTCTGGAGTGACAGAAATTGCTTTTTACGTCTTCAATTTTTAGAGGAATTGCATTGTTGTATAGTTTGATTGTAAAGGCGCATTGTGCGAAGCGGAGAAGAGAGTGAAATTGTGAAAACCCTAACTAACCGAACAGAGGAAGAAGAAGAATACGAAAGCAAGTGGTTGAACAGCTGGCAACGGCATCTTTTCTTTGTGTTGTTTCTAATGAACTGTTTGAACTTTAAACGCGCCGTTTCCACTTTCTGGAATCTCCTTTTAATTATTATTCATTTTTGCATGATCATAAGCATTGATGGATTTTTTTTATTCTAATTACAAGGTTTTGTTGTTTTAGTACAATGTCACTAGTTTTAAATGTTTTCCAACACTGTCACTCAATAATTTTAAAAAATGAAACAAAATTTCAATTATGTAAATTCATCATGAAATTTTGTTTTTAACTATTTTAGCAGTCAAGTGATAATTCAAGGACACGTTCACTTTGAGAAGGGATGTTTTTATATTTAATTTAATTTTGAAATTATTTATATGAAATATGAAAATAATAATTGAATTAATTTTTTTTTCTAAATTTATGAAAATAAAAAATAAAGTCATCTTTTTATAATTGAAAAACTTATCAAAGCTCTTATTTATTTAAGTGAAACATGACATAGATAGTTTTTTAAGCAAAAGCTAGGTGCTGCTGATATAATATGTACAGAGACCTCTTGCCTTTTAGCTAAAGCTTTAACTTTACCAAAGGAATCTTATGCTTTTTACTGCCATGTTTATACTTACAAATGAGCTTCAATTATTATTAAAGTTAATTGTTTTAAGGGGAAATTTCTTAATAATTTTAAATAGAAGGGTAAATATTTTTTAATACTACCATTTTCTTATTTGGATTAAGAGTAGGGGTAGCAAAACACATATTAACATTGATTTGATACACCTAACAATGGTAAAATGATTTTAAAAAGTGAATTTTTGTAAATTTTTGAAAAAGAAGAAAATAAAAAAAAAGTAGTGTAAAATGAATATAAGAAAAATTATGTGTATCAAAACATATTTTTCTTAGATTAATATTAATACACTTACTTTACCAAATTTGCAAATGTCTAAAAAAAACAAAAAACAATAGTTAAAGGAAGTAACCAAAACCAACCAACACTTGAATTTGTCGTTTTCTATTATCATTAGTCATAAACATTAAGCAATTGTGCTTATAATTAACACCCAACGAAATAGAAACTTCACCTACCACACCATAAGGTGGGTCCAATGCGTGATCAAACGACAGCAAAACTCCATTAGCTGGTTAATAATAGGAGCTTACATTAAATACAAATTATAGAAGTATAGGTTGATGAATGTGCAATTATTCAATGATGATGTTTGTTTGATACAAGGTGGTTAATCATGGTACCATAGAATTGAAAAATGATCCTGCGAGTGACTATTTGATGATAATGTTTATAGCAGTTGGTACTTGTACAATGAAGACAAGCAGAGACACGGATCATAACAAAGGGAAAGGTAAACCAATTATCATAGACTCCAACACACCATTCAGATGTATAAAAACAAATGAGTGCAACAACAAACTAACCAAGTTCTTGTTAAGTCATGTTCACATCAAATTAGCACATTATACAAGAAAATCCTCTTTCTTTCTTATACATGTCAATCCTCTCTGTTCGTTTTTAATTGTTCATCTTTGCTTCAAATTTTGTTTATAATTAACTGTCTAGAAGCTCAAGACCATATAAATTCCCCCTTGATCAATTATACTTTTTCTTTTGAAAAGTTCTAAGAGAAGTAAAAAGGAGTGAATGAATTGGAATTTGCATGAGTTCATTAATACAATAGTGTAAATATAGTCCAGTTTTATCTGCTAATTATTTGGTGGATAATTTATTGTTTTTCACCTTTCCATTTAACTTCACATTCATCAATAAAATTTACTTTATTCTCAAAAAATAAAATTTATGATGATCGCATTAAGTTTACATGAAGAAAAATGAAAAATAGGTAAATACTCTCAAAAAATCAACTAAAAAACTGTGATAGTGTCTCACCAAAAAGAAAAAAAATGCTGGCACTTGAATCATAGAGAAATTTGAAGACCTTTTTAATAGCACACAAAATTTTCTAGTGGTAAAAAATTTAAGATTTATAACTGTAAAGAAAAACCTATTTTCATTGAAATAAGGACAAAAAAAATGCTTTTGGATACTCTATTTCACCAGACTGCTCTTTGATGTAAGAGAAACACTTGATATTTTATTGCAAATATAGAAGAAAAGATGAAAATTGACACTTTTATTGCATATAGAGAAGACATATTATTGTAAGTGATTTTCTGTTTAAAAAAAATTATGTAAGCTAATGTTTTCATTGGTTTGTGAAACTAATCCTTAAACGTCACATATATATACTAAATAAGAAACAGAGGGAGAATAGAATATGCTTGATTTTCTAAAAACATGCCCAACAATAGTAAGTGTTGAAAATATCACATTCACAAGTAAGATAACGGAGTATAAAAGTAAAAGACAACCTTTAGGAACAGTTTTTTGAATTAAGTTAGAAACAAAATTCAAATTTTAAGAAGTTACCTGTTTCAATGTAAGCTTCGAGAATATAAAGAGGGGCACTTTACATGATGATCAAAGCATACATAGCCTCTAACTCAACCATTTTTGCAATACACATGATCAATGCATGTTGAACTAACACTGATTTTGTAAGGACACACATGTGTGTAGATAGATTCTACACAGCGAAGCTTCACAGTTAGTCACAAGACTTTTGTGTTGAAACCTGCAACTCTAGTGAAGAACCTGAATATGGCTAATATATTTTCCAAGCTATGAAGATGGTAGGCTAAGAGGTTCAAAGACACGCTTTGATTGATACTACTTGTAAGCTACTCCATATGCATGGGGGTTTATAAATGTAGCACTAGACAAGAATGCCATGTTAAGCTCAACATCTGAAAATCCGGCTCTGGATATATTGTTTCCGGTTTCCCTAGAAAGGTGACACCCATCTGCAAGTGTCCGTTGCAGAGGATCAAGAACTCTCTGTATAAATTTGAGAAAAGTTCCATCTGCATATGTCCATGGAAACACAAAAAATTAACCAAAATTAAGCTATTTACTAAGTTCACTAGTCCGTTTAAAAGTTCCGTTTCACCTTTTGCAGCCACATGTTCTACAAACACATAAAGTCCACCAGGTCGCAGCACCCTCATCACTTCTGCATGCAAAAGTGCCAATGATTTGGATGATAAACTTCAATTTTAAAAATGCTACACAAAAATGAATCCTGAATGTTTAGCCAAAATTATGTCGAAGTTTCACTACAGATAAAACTAATTTTAAATATATAATAATATACAAACCTTATCTTACAAGGTAGTTTTATAAGTTTAAATTAGGCTTAAAGTCTCTTTCTTAACATGGGATCAAAGTCATGGGATCAAAGTCATGTGTTAGATTTGAAATCTCTGTGGCCTCTAAATACTTTTTAAAAAACTGAAAGCAGCATGATAAACAGGTTTAATGTGAAAATTTATACATGAGAAAATTGTTGAGTTGATAAGATCAATTTCCCACTGTACAGTCTAATTTTGTAATCTACGTATTATGACTGTTTTATCATGTAACTAAAGTTTTCATGATATTTATAATTGTTATTTGCTACATACACAACAATCCATGGTTCTTTATCTAATAGCTTAAGCTCTTGCTTATGGTATTACTGTACAACCAAGTGATCTAGAGTATTGATCCTCATCGTCCACATTCTTATGACAAAAAAGGTTGAAATATAGAATAGGATGGGTGGACCTGCAAATTTACCATGCGTCATGCCTAAAGAGTTCTTAAAGATGTTAATTAAAACCATCATGTACTATCATCCATCATGTAAAACACGCTGCCTTTTTTTTCATTCTTCTCTCTGTCAAGCATGCAACAAAACAAACTTTCTTCTCTCTCCAGGTTCTGCTCTCATTCCTCCAAATCTCATCTTTCCAAAATCTGATCACACCTTGTAGTAGATGAGGAGCTAAGGGTTATTTTCAATCCGTCAGTTTTTCAATTAAAGTTTGTTTGTTCTAAATTTTATTTTTCTCTTTTCTTTTGGAATTGTCATCAATCTTGATGGGTTAGTTGAGAAAAGTGATTCCCTAAATTTGGTTAAGCTTATATTGAATATATGTTATGCTTGGATACTTTGCTCCAGGTCTCTAGATTTTGAGTGATTCTCTTGCTAGAATTGAAAATTACTTGAGAGCAAAGAATTACAAGAGAAGCTATTTCTGTTTTTTTTATAGCACCTTAGGGTAGATGATTTGGAGGTAGTGATTTGGTCACAATGTATTGATTTCTATGCAAGCATTACAATAGGGTTAATTAAGAAAAGTGATCCTCTAAATTTAGCTAAACTTATACTGAAATTTTTGTTATGTTTGGATACTTTGCTCTAGATATTGAGTTATTCTCTTGTTTCAACTAAAAATTACTTGAGAGCAAGGAATTACAAGTAATAGAAGCTATTTCTGTTTTTTATAGCACCTTAGGATAGATGATTTGGAGGTGGTGACTTGGTCACAATACACCCAAAAAGAAGCGAGTTATGTTTAAATAAAATTTGGAGATGGAAATATTCTTTCGTTTCTCTATGGTAAAGTAAGACTAAACTCATGAGCTTATTATCCTAGGTCGGAACAAATTGATAAGAGTTCCTTTTTTCACCCATCCATGTCGGTCCTGTGTGACGACATGGATAGGGTGAAATGAGGTTTCTCGTGCTTTTGGAATAGTGGATCCTAGCAGGAGGCCCGCACGACAGGCTATTAGCTCAATGGTAGAGCACACCCTTGACAATTGCGTTGTTGTGCATGGACTATGAGGGCTCTTAGCCACATGGATAGTTTAATATGCTCATTGACATCTAACCCTACGATGTGGATCATCCAAGACACATTAGTAAGGCATACTTCTCCTGTTTGAACCGGGGTTTGAAACCAAACTTATCCTAAGAGGACAGATGGTGATTTTATGCAAGGATTATGGTTTATTTGAACACAATTTGAATGTTGAAATTTAATGAGAATGTTCTGAGTTTTTGGTTAAATGAGGATTGTTTTAGACTACTTTGAATTCAACAAGTATTGACATATTTCTTTTTTTAGTACAATAAAACAAATTACAGTCTTGATACAA